CAGCTCTACCTAAAAGTGCTTCCTAGTTGCTGGGCAAGATCCTAAGAAGGGAACTCTGTTCCACTGGAAGAGACAAAGGTATTAGGCTTGGTTAGCAGAAGGGAGATGTGTGACTCAAGAGAATCTGGGGGAGATGTTGAGAAAAACTGGCAAGATAACAGGTTGGAGAGAGCAGAGATGCGATGGGGAGGAGAGGCTGTGACTGCAGGGCTCACTGCACTGTGACTGCTGTGCCCCTGCTGACCTGGCCAGTGCAGATGCACAAAGTAACGACGTGACCCCTGTCTCCCCTGCTGGGCACATCCATTCAGGAGTAACTGCAGAACTGACAGGGCTGTGGTTCCTTTCCAGATGGGGTGGCTTTTGAAAATTGGCCACCACTGACCACTGGGGACTCTTGTTACCTTGACCACTCTGTCTACCCTGGGCTACCTCTAAGGGCAGTGGAACCCACTCAAAAGGGTAGAAAGACTGTCTTCATCTCTATTCCACCCACCCAAAATCTATCCCCAAGTTCTCGAATCACGGGGACCCTTGCTTCTTAGCTCCACTACTTGAGCCGAAGGAAACCTATCCAGTTCCTCTTCCTCATGACGATAAAAACAGTGCAGTTGGCACATGAAGTCCATTTCCAGTCCTGCCTACAGCCTCCTCCATGGAAGCTAGAGGACCCAGTCCCTGCTCAAGGAGCAGCCCTAGGGCAGGTAGGCTTTGAATCATCAGACCTGGCCCCCACCTCCAGTCACAGCCAATCCAGGCAGGAGTAGGGGCCTCGTCCAGGCTGACCTGCAGCCAGGCCATGACCCAAGTAACAAAGAAGGGCTGAGAGATTCAGATAGCCTCTCTCTTGGAAAATGACAACAGACGAAAACTGAGAGAGCGAAGAACTGTCATAGAGAAAACCCGATGGGTCAGAAAAGCTGAAGTGATAAAGGAAGCTAGGGGTAGGGATCAGAGGGGCGAGGGTGGGCTGGGGAAGCTTGGTAGAGAGAAAAATGTAATGAGTTAGGCTTACAGGGAGCCCTGCTGCAACAGCTTCCTGCCTGGTCCTCATGCAGCCACCTGGCCCTATCAGCAGCTCTTCTACATACAGCAGCTGGGAATCTTTCCAAAACAGGAGCCCAAACATGTCACTCTCCTATTAAAAACCCTCCAGGGAATTCCTCACACTTAAAATAAAAGCTGAACTCCTTCCCAGGCCTTCCAGTCCCAGTGTGATCCAGCCCTGTGACCCCCGACCCTCACATCCGCCCTCTCCACCTCTGTGCACAGGCCGCCCCCGCCTCCTTTCAGCCTTGCCCCACTTTCCATCACCCTCCCTGTGCCCTCCACTGGGAGACTCTCCCACCAGACCTTCCTGGGGCTGCCTCCGTCTCACCTTCAGGTGTCAGCTCAGATGTGGGCCCTGGGAAAGCCTTTGTGCCCCCCACCCCCCGCAGAATAACTCTTCCCCCAGACACTGTCCATCTCATTCCACACTCTGCTCTCCCTCACGGCACTTGTTTATTTGCTTGCTTGTTTGCTTCTGGTCCTTTGCCTCTCCACCCATGCCCTGTTAATGTAAGCTGCGGGAGAGCAGGCCCAGCCTGCTTCACTCGGGAGCTCTGACTGCAGCACCTACAATCGTCCAAAATTTATTAGGTGCTCTGCTCAGTAAATGATGATGGAATAAACGAAGGGCTGAATGAGGTGTCCACACAGACCACCCTTAGCATCTGCCCCTCCACTGATTACAATGGTCATACCACCAACTGACATTTCCTCTGTGCCAGCCCCTCCTTGAAACGCCCGCCAAACACTGCCTTGTTCAAGTCTCGTTAACTACGCTATGAGGCAGTACCATTACCGACCCAACTTACGGATGAGAAAATGGGCACCACGAGGTTTAGCAACTCGTCTAGGGCTGTACGACCTGCACCCGGGTGCCTGAGCCTGTGCTCTTAACCACATTTCTCTGGGCTTGTCTGTCACCTGCTGCCAAGGATTCCTACCTGAGGCAGCGGAAGCAGACAACTCCTGCTAATGAACCACCTGTGACAGACCCTGCACACACTCCTTTCCAGCAGCCAGGGGAGGTTTTACTGATGACGAGTCCAAAGCTCAGGGAGGTCACATTGCTGGCTCTGGGGCAGACAGCTAAGGAGTCTGTCTGACTCCAAAACCCTTTCTCTTCTAATCCCCAAGGGTCATAGGTTCAAATGTCTCAAAGAGCCAGGCGGGAAATGGAAAGGTGGGAGCCACTGGGTACAAGAGAAATAGTAGCAGAGCAGGTAACAACTGCAACTACCACCGGGCCTCAGCTCTGGGGTTCTGAAGGGAGTGGTGGGGACTGCGGCACGTGGGCAGGCTGGTGACCTATCTAAAGAGGGTGATCGCTCCTCGGCTCCCACTAGTGGCTGTTTTATGGGAGGACAGCTCAACCTGGGGGCCAGATCTTTCCATTCTTCCAGAGAAGGAGGAATTGAGCTTCTTAAAAAATATATAAAATCTTTTTAATTTAAATGTTAGCAAACGACTAAGCCTTTTTAAATTGTGTGCATTCAAAACACATTATCTGAAAGGCAACTTCGGCCCATGGGCTTGAAGCTGCTAACTCTGGAGCCCAACGGGCCGGTCCTCTGTATGTCTGAGAAGAGTTGTTGCTTCTTCCTCCCAGGTTAGCAGCTCCCGTGTCCTCACACCCGAATCTTCCAGGGCAGGAATGGAGCTTTATGTGACTTGTTTTTAACTCCAGAGCCCTGCCTAGTGTCTGGCCCAGGGTAATAAATGTCTGTTAAATTAACAGATGACTTCTTTCTCGACATGGCTTCCAGTCCACTCGCCACTGCTGAATGCTCCCGAGTTTGTCTATATCTCTATATCTATATCTCTGAGGGGTGGTCCCCAGAGGACCACATGCAGGTAGAGCAGAGTTGATGTGGTAATGGTGGGGGGGGGGTAGATCGACCCCCCAGCACCCAATCCACTCTCCTGTTAGGGTGCCTTTTTGTTCAGAAGAAGCCGAAAAGCCAGACCCTGGGTTTCCCAGACTCCCTTTCAGCCGTGGTTCTGGAAGCGACTTAGGTGAGTGGATCAGATGGCCTTATACGAGGCGGGGAAAGCAGAAGCGAGGTGGAGAGGCTGTTACTGTGCTCAGCACAGTGGCAGAGGCCTGGGCTTTTCAACAATGTTCTACCCTGGCTGGACAGGCTATGGGCAGGATCCTCCTTCACAGCATTGCTCTAGCAGGCACAGCATCACTCTGAGGCTAATGGGTGTGGCAGTACTTCCTAATGCCTGGATTGCAGCTAAGATGACACACTCCTGATGCTGAACCTCCACCTTCCCTACAAGGTTCTACATAGCAGTTTTTCTGGCGGGCCCAAGCTAGGATGCCAGGCACCATTCCTGCAGGCCCAGCTCAGCCCATCCTCTCGTCAGCCCATTTTAAAATACTGCACCTGATCCCCTGCATTACATTCATCTCTGATTAAAATAGCCTGAGTGATCTCTATTGTTAGGCATCAGCTGACCCCTGACTGATACGGTGCAGAAGGACAATTATAGCATGCATGGCATCAGGAAGCCAGGAAATTAGCCATGATTAGGCCCTGTGAAGTGTGGGACCACAGGGAGAGACTGGAGAGGGATGCTAATTATCTTAGGCTAAGTCTTTTAAATTGCACAGACTCTGGGGCAGCCATTAAGTCACAGTCTAAGATGCAAATATGGCTCCTGATAATAGAAGGCACTCAAAACAACTAGAAGAAGTGGAGAAAGGCCTCATTAATGAGAAATTAACATTCATTGCTGGGGACAAAGGAAGCCTCCAGACTGTGTGCCCTGTAGGCCTTGCTCATCAGCACTGGAGCTAGCTGGCAGGAACACCCTTCCTCATTGAATCAGAGACCCACAAATGCCTGTGCAGAGAAGTGGGAGACCACTGGGCTTGGAGTTACACGTCCAGTGTTCAAACTTCAGCCCACCCTTCTCCCTTAGGAGCTGTGTGACTCTAAGTCTGGGCCTCAATTTATTCAGTGGCAGGATGACAATACTTATGGAACTGCAGGGTTTTTGCAAAGATGGCCTGATAAAGCCTATGAAAGCATTTACTACAGGTCCATACGTACGGTACAGTGTAAAACATTATAAGGCAGTGCTTTCTAATCCTAGTGAGCACAGGATCAAAGAGTATATCAATCCACCCTTGCTTAACCCTCACCTCAGGCCAAGTAAGAGGTACTCTCTGGAGGCGGGGCCTGAGCATCAGTATTTTAAAATGTCCCAGGCAATTCCAAACTGCAGTGGGGTTGTGACACACTGATCCCGGGAGGGTGTGAGCAACTGCAACGTAAGGGCCAAGGACCATAAAGGCAAGAACACCGAGCCTGGGGCCACAGATTTGGGTTTGAGTCTGGATTCTGCCATTTCTTGGCAATTGACCTTGGAAAGTTCACTTAACTTTTCTGAGCATTCATCTCCTCAGCTCCCTTAAAAGAGGAAGGATATTGGAACTTACCTTGTAGGTCTGCTGTGAGGGCAAAGGGGGGGAGTCACGTGGGAGCTGAGCCCTCACCTGGCACCTGGTGGGGGCTCAAAAATACAAGCTGCTGGTAGCAGTGACCTCAGCAGCAACCGAAGCGGCATCCCAGGTCTGTGGGGCAGAGGCTTTGTCTTAGTCACCTACTGCATCCCTAGCATCTAAGGCTGTGCCTAGCACATAGTAGGTGCTCATCTGATACAACAGCTGTATGAATGAGTCATCACAGCAGGGTTGTGAGTCTGACCTGTGACACTCTCGCGTGGGGCTGGGTGGCCCCATCCAGAAAAAAGGGCTCCTCTGGTCTCTAGAGGCCAGCACCACACGCAGAGAGGGCACCACTGCAGTGCCTGGCCAGACCACCACCATGCATGGCGATTCCAAACTCCCTAATTAAGTTTCTGTTCCCTCGATAACCCAGCTCCTTATTCTAAAGTGTGGACTGAGGCCACCGTCTTGACTCCGCCCAGCATTTCCAGACCTGGTGCCATCCTCGGCGCTGGACTTTGCTGGGGGCTGTCCGTGAACTGCGTCTTAAAGCTTCTTCAGCTTCTTGAAACAGGGTTCTTCGTCCACAATCTGCACCAGAAATGAGGGAGGAGACTCGTTGAGGCGCCGATGACAAGTTCACACCGATGGCAGTTTTGTAATTTACATCTAAAATACACATCAGTGTGCCCACAATCCCATATGCGAAGCTAATCACTGTAGCATGGTTTGGAGCAGCAAGGCATTAGAAACAAGCTAAATGCCCAGCAAAAACAGAATAATAGTAAGTCATGGCACCTCCATATTATGGAATAATATGTATAATAATATACAGCCAAATCGAGCAGGTCAATATACAAAAGGAACAGTCACCAAGGGCACAGGTCAGTGTGCACAATAGGCCAGGATTTGTGGAAGAGAGGGGAGAAATATGTGTTGAATGGGTGAACATACTGCTGGTGGCCCTAATACTGAGACTCCTATTATCTGTCCCTCCCTGAAACCCAGACTCAAAAAAGACTGCTTCTCCGAAGGAGCAACAGATCTCTGGACTCCTCTACCAGGAAAGCCAGGAGAGGCATCCCATTTCCCTCCTTTCCCCGGGGTCTAGGAAACACATGCTAACCTCCAAACTCAACTGCCACCACTCCCCTAGGGAAGGTTTGTGGATATCACTTTCGCCTTTTGTCACCTTGTTGTTGTTTTGACTTTCACTATTTATGAATGGCTTGGGATCTTACCATGCCAGTAAGGCAAAGAATTAGAACAGCACAAATCAAGATTATTGTGTGCCGGATACTTTATATTTCTTAATTTTCCCGGCAAACCTGCAAGGTGGGCATAATTATTCCCCTTTTCCAGAACAGGAAACTGAGGGTCAGAGAGAACCCAACTCCCAGAGGTCTCAGAGCAAGAAAGTGGCAGAGCTGGGTTCGACCCCAGCTCTGCCTCATTCCAAATCCTTTTCTCGTAACTTGGTTGCACACCGGCCTCTCATACACAGCAGCCTGCCTTGAAGGGCACTCTGGCACCCTAGGATAGGCATACTCATTGGAGCTATTTTAAAGATGAGGAAATAAAGGCATCAGGAGACAAAATGGCTACCCCTAAGTAACACGGCCAAACTGGGACCTGACTCCATGTGATCTGCCATTTCATTCATTCAACCACCAAACCATTGTTGGTACCTATCGTGGGCCTGTCACTAGGTTGGGTGTTTTCTATTCCACTTTCTACTTCAGTTCACAGACTTTCTGTGCTTTTATCATAGGACACACTGTTAGGTGGCTAGTCAGACATGAGCAATAGGGGCCCAGCCTAGAGACCGCACAAAGAACACCCCGATGGTAGCAGAATTCTGGGTAAGCACATGTGCACTAGGCAAAGAGTTATATAGCAGCCAGGTGTCAATCAAAATGACCTCACTTGCCAATCACCTAGGAATGCCTTTGAAACCACCCATTACAGCCCAAATATGAGACAGACATTCCCACTTCTGGGCCTTTCTTTTTGGCCCCTTTTTTTGCCCTCTCGTTGTTGTAGTTGTTAGTATAGCGCTCTGTTGCAGCTCTCATTGCAGGGACCATGCGCCTCCTTGGGCCTCCTTGGGGCGTTCTTTGTCTTTCTAAAATATGCTTTTAATAAAACTATTAAACCTCAATGACCTGTGATTCTTCACAGCCTTCGTTTGAGGGAGAATCAAGGGAAAATACTAACTACCCTTCTGCTCCGTCTTATCCATCTCCCTCCCCCTGCCGTTGGGGCGACACAGAATTCCTATGGGCCCCAATGGTGACAACATGAACGCCGTTTAAGAATGCACAGAGTACAGAGTACGTAAATTCAAAACTGAACAGTGGAATTCAATATCACACAGGGCGGTTAGGTTTTGAAGTAAAGACATATCGAGGGAAAATCAGGCATAATCAGAATTATCCTAGATGTTTCTTTAAATTACAGGTAGTTAAGTCCTAGGAAATATAAAAGCCAAGAATCTACTGCTCTGGACACCTTTGCCCTGGGGCAGTGGAGGCCAAGACGAGTTTAAAAAGGAATAAAGAAGGATTTTCCTCTCCTTCTCACTCTCCCGCTCCCTATTTTTGGACGAGTGGGTATAGTTAACTTGTTTAGGTTAACCAGTTATTTGCTGGTAAGTTTATGTTCATAGGATGCGGCTCCGTTGTTCCTAATTAGTTAACAGAGCTGTTGCTTGGCCTGGAAGGGCCTGCACTTACCTTGTGTCCCCTCGGCATGTGATGCACTTCTGGAGAAGTCGGAGTGGACGGCTTTCCGCGGCGACGTCTTCAGCTCAGAATTGGCCCCGTTGACATAGACAGAGAACCCCTGCTCCAAGTGCTCCAGTCTCAATTGCATAGGGTCCTTGGTTTTCAAATGCTTTAATATCCTAAAAGAGAAATGATTGTTTGCTCCTCGTTATATGAGCCTGGGCCACCGCCCACCCCCACATGGGGGGAGAATTGCTGCTCTGATATAACCAGAGGCCGGGTGGCAGTCCCCAGCTGTTTGTGTACAAACAGCCTCTAAGAAGCCCATTACGCACAAGGAGAAGCAGCCAAGCAGCCGAGGGAAAACTGTTTCAGGCCCTGCAGGGGTGTTTCTGCTTTTGTTCTGAGTCTCAAACACATGTAAGCAAAAATGAAGGCGCAAGTCCTCACCCCATGGCGGCTGAGACAGAAAGCAGGCATGTGTGCACACTGCCACACAGCCTGGATTCCCTGGCATCATCCTAATGTTGTGCATTTATTTCTACTTTGTGTGGACGACGGCGCTTTGTTTAATGTTTAAGCAAACGTGGTTTAGGGTCTAAGGCTTCGTGAGAGAGATTTCACATAGCACCCACAAGTCAGAAAACATCCTTTGGCAGACCAGGCGGACTGATATTTTTGCTTCAGTAAATAAATGAGCTCTCAAACATTCACCCCTGATATCTCGAATGTCATCACTTTATACTCTGATACAGTTAAAAATATATCAGTGCAGGCTTTTGTTCAAGATTATCACACCCTTTGGCTAAAAGGGTCTTGGCCTGAGCATGGCTAGGTCTCCAGTTCAGTTCTCTCTAAAGCCCAGCCTCACACCTAAGGCTTGGTCCCTTCCCCACCCCTGATACTGCGCTGTCATGAACAGTATGCAGTGTCCTCTTTGGCCCCTCTAGAACTGTTCCCATCTGGCACCAAACCCTTCAGTGTCATCACAAACACCTTTATGCTACCCCCCCCATCAACCAGATTTATTTTAGCACAAGGAGGAATACAGATAACTGTCGAACCAACATAGCAACAGGTGTGCATCCTCCTCAGTGATGAAATAAGTTCCTACCAGATTAGCGAAATGCAAATTTTAAAACATAAAAGTAATCACATAAAGGGTGTGTACCATATGCTGAACTCTGTCCTTTATGTCAACAGTCAATTCTCATTATTCTGAGTAGCTATATTCTACAAAGTTGCCTCGGACACTGAATTAGTGAACAGTGAACCATTGCTCCTTGGGGAAAATATAGGATTTGGTTCCTGCAAGCCTCTGGTCACAACATTTTCATCAACTGATCAATATATAAGGTGTGTTTTTGTTGAAAGCACCTTATCCAATATAGAGCTGATTCATTAACACCAAACTCATAGCCAGGAGCACTGTAACTCAGGCCTGAATGAAGCTTATCTAACGCATGTATTTTCTCGGTAGAGAACGTCACAGCCTCCTCCTACTTAGCAACACTACTGAGCATTCAGCACTATGCTGGCTTAAACATAGCAGAATCACCAACAAAATCACAAGAATGTGGAAAACATGGCCCTAGGTATACCGCAAAAAGGACTTTGTTTACAGTATAAAAGCTGAAAGAAGAAGGTAGAGTGTCGCCTAACCCTACACTTCATCTGTACCTGTGTCAGGCAACAAAAATTTTTTGCCACTCTGAAAACGCCTTTGAATGACCGTGAAAGCACTCCAAGTATTCATTTTGGACTTACAAATAAATTTTAGTGAGTAAATGAATTCATGAGTACAGACTCTGTGAATACGAGCACTGACATTAATCTTCACGACCACCAATGGGGTAATTACGTTTATTATCCCCATTTAATAGATAAGGAAACTGAGGCACAGAGAGGTTAAGTAACTCGCCCAAGGTCATGGTGTCAGGGTTAGGATGCAAACTTAAGCAATTTGGCTCCAGAGTCTTCACCACGAAGAAGACAACTTCTAAAGCTAGCAAGATTATATTGAACTTGGCAAACTTAAGACACTGCTGGTAACTCACAGAACCTCCTCAGAAGTAATATGAAAATATGGAAAATGCTATATGGTTGGTATTTGCCCGGTAAGCACATTCCAGCAAATTGTTTCCAGGTCAGGAACAACGGTCAACATTTGATCATAACAAAACCCTGAAAACAACCCAAATGTCCAACGACAGAGAAGTGGGATCTGGGATCTCATGCAGCCATTGTAATTATGAAGAATCCGTCGAAATGCAAGGGGTCGTTTGGAATCTGTTCAGTGGGAGAGGGGAGTGTGAAAAAGGCAGAATAAAAATGGTACATTTGTGGTAAGCGCAAAGTTGGAAAAAAAACTATGTTTGCGGCCCCAGAGTAGAAGGTGATAAAAATTAAATCATTTGTTAAGGTAGAGTAGTAGCATTATGGGTGATTTCTGTTTGCTTTTTAAATGTTTCTCGAGCTGTTGCTACATCCATCTTTTCAACCATCGTGGCAGGAACATTTATTACAGACTGCTTATCTCTTGCCAGCCTCAGAAACCTAGGAGATGCTAGGTTGTGGGGCTATTGTGGGGCAACAGCATAAAACAGAAGGAAAACACAAGTAGCTAAGAGACAGTTTCCAAACACAGCACTAGCCGTACGCGCTCGCTGGAGCAAACAGTCACAGGGCTCTGTGGGCATCAGCGGCCTCCAGGGAGAGACCGCAGGGAGCCAGGCCCTGGGAGGCCCCAGCACGGGCGGGGGCGGAAAATTTGACCACCAGGTGGAGAGTGCCTGCCTCCACTTCCCTCCGGAGACCACTCTGTCCCTTGATGCCACCTTAATGATTAAGGTGGCATCCCATTCCCTAGGATCTGGGGCTGGTGCTCCCTGTGGGCCTCGCCTCTCTTTAAGCAGGATGATTTATGAAAATGTGGATTTATGAAGCTGATAAATAAGGAGATAATTATTCAAACTGTGGAAGGAATCGCTATAGGAACTCCTCTGCTGCAGCTGAGCGCATCAGTAATATTCACATGACATCAAAGAAAAGTCGGTTTTTTTAAATTGATAGCCTGCTTTGCATACAAAGTTGTCCTAGGTGAAGGGGATTCAGAAAAATCAGATTCAGTTCCTGCCCTATCAAAGATGGAGCCCCTGCCCTCTACTGCCCGGTCACACCCTATTCTCGCATGAGTTATCTTTGTTTGATAGCACATGTCTCAGTTTTCATGCTACAGTATAGAATCTGTGTGTCTGTTTATTCCCAGATGCCATCAGAATCTGAGCCCCTGGGCATAGGGTCCATGCTCAGTGCGAGAAATGGTGAGGAATGCTCTCAGTATCTATTTCTGGAACAAGTGGCCCCGAGGAACTCCAGGTCTAGCAGAGAGAGAAGACTTGGATGTGCATCCTATTAACAGCTACCGTGAATCTAATGCACAGTGCAGGCGTCATTTCATTTTATCCTGTATTGAGCTTTGAATCACTTGTACAGAGAGCTCTTTTTTACACAAAAGACAGAGTGAAGGCTCCAGGAGTTAGAGCACAGGGTGTCATAGGGAGTGACGGGGGACATGACACACTTGATGGCTGGGTGGTCAAGGCACAAGCAGGGACCCAGGTGGTGAAAGGACTTAGCTGAGCTCAAAGGGTGGGTGGCAACTGCTCATGGACCTAAGTGTGACTGAGTTCAGGAGTGAACTATCTCGGTCTCTAAGCGCTGACATTGCTGCGTGACTGGACTAGCCACATGGCTCCTCGGAACCTCAGTTACTCAAAGGGCCAACCGAGAGGTTCTCTAAGGGTGAGGCATTCAAGGATTACCTGGATGTCAGCTCAGGGGAAAAGCATGTTTAACATTAAAATGATGAAGGTGATGATGAAGAAAGCGCCCTTGGGTGATGGAATTACCATGGACCTTCAGGTACCTTGTCTTGCTTAAAACCCTTCTTGGCTGTGGGATCTAGGCCTTACCACTGGCATATTTGATTAATGAACTTGTTCAAGGTCAAGAAAGCCAAGGACGTAGCCAGATTTAAATTCCAGTCTGCAAGGCACCAGAGCCTGTCTGTCAGCCACTCATTCTGCTGTCTCCTCACCATGCCACAGGGGTTTTGAGCAAGGAGGCTTCAGAGAAAGAGCAGTGGCTTCCAGCTGGGAGTGTCCTGGAGTGTCCTGAGTTGAGTCCGGCCTTGGAGCATGGAGAAGCAGAGGGCAGTGGTGCAAAAAGCCTACCATTCCTCCTGGAACCTGAGTGGCCCAGAAATTCTGATACTTGTCCTCTAAGATGTCACCACCCCTATGCGTAGAGGACAATGTGTGGAGGACGAAGCTCCATACTGGAGACTCTGCCATTTCCCTAGCTTGTGTGACCTGGGGAAAGTCCTAGGTTTCCTCTTCTGCAAAATGAGAACAGG